TTTTCTTAGTGTGGTAGTGGAAGCAGACACACCTGTGGATTCTTCTTGCCACACTGCTTTTTAAGGCATAGCAGATCTGTCCCATTTGGTGTATATGGCAACCATTGCCTTCCAGTTTGCTGCTGGCCAGTTTCCAGCTTGCTGCAGAAGCCTGCAAACTGTAAAGGAGAGTGTGTGCACGTGTACAGCTGCATACGCCCAATTCATATGCACATACTTGAAGTTTTAGCTGAGCTGCAGGGACCAACAGAGAGAACAGAAAAGCTATCCTAAAATCTCCCTAGAGCTATCCTGAAAAGTCTGCATGTAGCTAGTTGCACTGTCCCTTTTGCAGAACACTTGTAGCATCCTAAAGTAACAGGCTGCTTACTGTTTGTCTTCTCCAATTCCCCACATTTCTGCTCTGCTCCAAGCATTAGACTCTGATTAGATGAATAAGCACTTGTTAGAGTAAATGAAACAATGTAAAGTCGTTTAAACACCTGAAAGCACAAAATAAAAGCTAGATGATATTCCTAACAAAACTTGCTAGGATAATATCCAGTTGGAATGATTTATGTACCCTCATTTAATGCTTGGAACAAAGGCTCTGTGATTCAGGCAGGGCAAGGACAGCATAGGCACAAATCTATGCTAATGCGCTCAGCACCTCGGCCTTCTCTTTCTGCAGCTTAGGTTAACCTGCAGTAGAGCTACACATACCAGAAAGCTCTTCTGGAGTTTCCATCAAGGTTTCCCATATCAGCCGATTGAAGCTTCGTGGCTGGATATGTGAGATATAGTTAAGAAGCAGAAAGTATGGAACTTGTGATTCAGTGATTCTCTTCTCCCCAACCCATGTCTTAACTAGAGGCAAGTGGCTTTGTGGAACAGTAACTCCTCTCAGAATTCAGGTGCTGCTGCTTTTTGTTCATTTATCAACAATGCTTTCTGATTTATTTGCAATACATAGGTACTTCAGACACCACATGCAACTAAAAGTGTCTTTTGGTCTTTGTTCGCAGACTACCTCTTCAAACTGGATTTGGAAGCCTGTTCTGTGCTTAAGTTTCCACTGCAGGTTTGCATCACACTTCATTACACTGGGACAGTAAGAGTAACAGCTCTGTCGAAGCCACTGTAGCAATTGCTCTTAAGCCAGCAACAAGCTGGTCTTTCCAGTTACTATTTTGTGTCCCAAATACCGGGAACATAGAAATCACATAATTAGGAAACTGATTACAGAGCATCATAATGGGTTTTAACTAATAGTTTTGTATTAACCTATACCTGGCTGTTCCAACGCTAAGCCTTTTCCACTGGCTTCTACCATCTCCTGAAGATGCTCAAATATCCTCTGCATGAACCTGTTGATCCTGGAAGCATTTTCTGCCTTGAAAATCATAGCTAGCATTAGACCCTTGGAAGTGTAGATAGCAGGGCTGCTTCAAGGTGCATCTTCCGCAACTATGGAAGATGAGCAACTACACAGATGAGCAAGTTACTGAGTGTGGGGGGTGGATTCAAGGGGTGGAGTGGCTGAGATGCTCAAGGACCAGATCCCAGCCCCCAGTCATGAACTTACTGTCCCTTACCCCAGCATCTTGGCCAGGGGAGCTGTTCTTCTATCTACGAAGTGAAAAGTGAGGCTAGGAAAGTCATGTTCTTTGTTTCAGTGTGACAGGTCCGTCTACCAAAGGAAACCAAGAAGCCGAGAGTGACTCCCTAGCATATTAGCACACCGTATCTCAGAGTTGTGTTTCCCAAACTTGGGTCCCTAGCTGATGTTGGACTATACCTCCAATCAGCCCTGACCACTGGTCCTGTTAGCTAGGGATGTTGGGAGTTATAGTCCGACAACAGCTGGAGACCAAAGTTTGAGAAACACTGTCTCAGAGGCATGTGAGAGGAGTGCCATGAGGCAAGAAGTTATGCCCTGTGCATCTCATATGGCACGGATGTTGGCCATCCTTGGTATAGACAAGACAGACAAACAGCACTCCTCTCCCCACCCGGCAACTCTCAAAGCTGTTGTGCTGCACCCTGACTTGACTTATCTGTTGCACACTTATGTGCTAGTCTCTTAAACCCAGTTCTCCGTAGAGAATACGTGCTCTAATAAGCAGCAAGGGAAGCACTCCCAACCAATTCCCAACCCTGCTATAGCACATCATAGTCTATTGTGGTCTCATTTATGTGATATTTGTAATCCTCTCATCTCTGAATAATGAAGTTGGCATATTTGCGGGGAGGGGGCAGATCAATGCTTGAATTACAGGCAGTCTAGAGGGGCCCCAGTTCTCTTTATTTGATGCTAACCCCCTCAGCCAGTTTTTACAAAACTAAAAAGGGATTCAAAGTATGATGTAACAGACGAATTGGGTGAATTTGTTAAAACTGCAATGATATAATTTTATCAATTTAAGTTTAAAAACTGAGAGGGGGAAAAGGCTACACTGAGGCGTGGTGTTTAAAAGCAGGGAAAGTTGGGGGTGCGGGCTTATGACTTTCACTAGGGACCCTGTACCTTTTTGTCCATAACTTGAGCACCGGGGCAGATAAGACACAAACTTTCATGGAGAGAAACTACCTCTTAATCATTCCCACTGCATGCAAAAGTCTAGGAGACACAATCGGACAAAAAACGTTGACTGCTCTCCTGCGACTGGTGACTTGCTTGCTTACTTGCTAGCAACTCTGTATGATGATAGTTTGGGATTCTTTTATCCTGGGCCAGACACATGCCAGTCTAGGTGCACTGTATCCTATCCAGGGACAAATTTGCCACTGTGCCCGCTTCACCCACCAAATGGCTCGTTAGCCAGGCTAAAAAACAGGTGTGCAAACAAGAAGAGCGCTCTCTCCCTGCCCCGCCCCCTGAAAAAGGCTGAAAATGCCTTGCCGACTGGCACAGTCTGTAGACAAGCCCCCACTTCCACATACTCTGTGTAACTCTGGCTGAGTCTCCTGCAGGTCTGCTGTCTGCCAACAGCAGCCTGGCTTCCCAGAAGGCTAATTCTACAATCCTTAGTTAACACAAAGCTGTCCTGAGGATTTGCCACCTCAGCGTACATGGCTAACAGTACAGAGAGAGGAGCAGTTTCCCCAGTGCCCATAAGGGTAGATGTTACCTATGCAGACTCAGGACCAAGAGACACACTGGAATGGATTTTGAACATCCTCCTCTGTCCATGCCAGGTTCTAGCTCTTTCCTTGGCTCAAACTGCATTCTGCTTGCAGCACAGCTCCTGTCCAATTGTCCCACAGTAACTCAGCAAAGCTCTGCAAATTCACCCAAATACCAACATCCAGCTGGAGAAACTCAATTCCTCTTGGAGGGCAGAGCATCACTTACACAGTGACCTTCTGTGGTGTACACTGGTCAGTGCTGCCTGCCATTAGTCTCATGTGTTCTCTGTCCACACATCTGCCCTTACCCTTCCAAAGCAGCCTTCTTGCAAGAAACATTGGATAGTGGCCATTTGTTGATTCCTGCATTGCAGGGGGTTGGACTGGATGACCCTCATGGTCCCTTCCAACTCTACAATTCTATGGTGCTAGTTCATCTGAGCAAGCAACAATAATTCCCTACTCTGATTTCTTGTTTAGTAGACATGTGGACTGCACAAAGATTCAGTTGGCTGCCACCCCCTACCTACTGGGAAGGGATGCGTGCATATATCTGAAAACAGGCCCGGGCACAATCTGAAGGACAAGATACAGCATGGTCGCAGGGCAAGGCCCCACTCAATTTTCAGCCCCACAAGAGAAGCAAATGAAATGGAAATGCTCAAAATGCAAACAGAAGATAAAGCTGCATATGCTAAGTACAAGTTAGTATTTGGGGGAAGGCCTGTCATTCTATATCTGAGGAAGATGCAACAAGAAGCCTGAAAAGATGCAGCAAGCACAGAATGTATGGGTGCTCCAGCACCAAAAGCTATAGAATTGGTGGTGCGTCAAACATATGGAATGGGGCTTTCCTAAGTAAAGGAGAAGGGGACCTGGTCTAGCAGCCTTCTGCAGGCTAGGGTGGACTATAAATGCTAGGCGACTGTTGCATGCAAGCAAAAAGGTGGCCACTGCACACTGCACACTGAAGGGGTATCGGTAAGTAGTGCACATAAGGATTGTGGATGTGGGACTATTTGTGGTTGGACTAGAGTAGATTTGAGTGCTGGATGTAACAAGAGGGTGGGCAGACGAAGCGAGGGCTTGACATGAACAGAGGTGGGGATCTGGGCCTGACGGGCGCTGGATGTGGGGGAAGCAGGTGGCTTCAGTGTAAGGGGGGATAGGGAGAGAGCGAGCGAGCCACACACACACCACACACACCCTAGGTCATGATCTAGACAGCTTGGATTCAAGGTGGATCTTGAGGTGACTGCACGGCGCACACTGGGTGCCGCTGCTGGATGTCTGGTGGCACTCGTGCAATGTGCTGCGGGAGCCGCATCCAGGAGGGCGATCCCAGTCGGCGGGGGCGGGGAGTGGGGGGAGGCGAACGGGGGGCACCTCGGGTGGATGGATCGGGGCGATCCGCGTGCAGGCGGACGTGTGTGCGGTCGGGGTTTCTGGGTGAAGGGTGGATCGCGCGCCGCAAATGGATGCGGGGCGAGCGGTCTAAGGGCAGCAGAGGGGTGTGGATGCAGGGCGGGATGTGGGCGCGCGCTCCCGGTACCTGTGAGGCTCTGCCCTGCTCCGCACTGCTCGCCGCCGCCGCCTCGGGAGTCTCTGGAAGGCCGGGCCCGGCGGGGGGCGCGGGCGGCTCTGGGGGGGCTGCTCCCCCCGCCCGCTCCCGCCGCGCCCCGGCCGCGCCCACCGCCTTATTCCGCCTGCGAGTCATGCCCGTCCCGCGCCCCACGCTGCCGCGCTCTCGCCGCCGCCGCTAACGCCGCTGTTGCTCCCGCCGCCGCCGCTAACGCCGCCGCCGCCGCCGCTGCTGCTGCTGCTTTCAGACAGGACAACAGCCAATATGGCGGCGCGGCCCGTCCGGCCCCTGCCCGCGGGGGGAAGCCTCCGCCGCCATCGCCGGAGCGGGCAGCGCCTGGGCAGCGCGCCCCCCAGCGGCTGGAGGAGGCGCCGTCCCCGGCAGAGAGCGCGTGTTCCCGGCTAGAGGCGCGGAGCTGGCGGAGGGGCCGAAGCGGGCTCGGTCTCTCCGGAGGCGGGAGCGGGGGGGTGGCCCGGGGCGGAGCCGGAGTCTGCAACTCCGACGGGAGGCTAAGGTGGTCATTTGGGGTCACCAGGGCCCATTTAAAGGGAATCATCAGGAAAGCCTCAGCCGGAGCCCTCGGCGTTGTTCCACGGCATCTCCGACGAGCGCGGCGGTGCTGCAAACTTGAGCAATTCGCCTTTCTGCTCGCTGCCAGCCTCCCCTATGCAGGCCCGTCTCTGCTTCTCGCGGCCCCCCTACCCGCTGCCAGCAGTACAGGGAGGGCACAAGGTGCAGATGTACCCCGCTGCCCCGGGTGTGTCTGAGCCTTAGCAGGTAACCTTAACTCATCACGTCTACGCGGGGATGTTAAACAACTGACACCGGAGTGTTGTGGTGCTCCGACATAGAATGGTGAAATCTCTGTATAATATATAAGCATCTTGTAAATTAAGTTTTCATGTATCTGAAAATACCTATTGCCAACAATACAATCGAATGGGATTTTTTTTGGGGGGGGAATCATATACCTACTGCAGTATAAAATTAATAAGAGAGGGGCATCGTTATAGATCTAAAAGGTGCGTGAAGTTGCATTTTAACAGGAAATAAAAGACTATCTGGAAACGATCAAATTATATATTTAGAAATAACTCTCATTTTGGTAATTTTTCAAATGTTTTTTAATGTTGTTAGTTATCTAGCAGATTAGTTGGAATAATTATTCTTAACCCCAAAATTAGAAATTTGTATGCTGTGTGTTCTAAATGTGGCTACAACTGCAGTCCAAACTTGGGACTGAATAAGCGGCAAAGCACTGGCCAATCGCAAGAGGAGTCTGTCACTTGCAGCCATGATCTGGTCCTGACATGCAGCATGGTAATGTTAACCTCTTCAGGAAGCACCTAGGAGGGAGGGGTGTGTGGAATAGAGATTAAGGCTGGAATGGAGTTTTGAAAGTGTACAGTACTGGTAGCCCTAGTGGTGTGGAGTGGAAGTGCCATTTGGGTAGCTAGTATCTACCCAATTAGGGACACGGGTGGCGCTGTGGGTAAAAGCCTCAGCGCCTAGGGCTTGCCGATCGAAAGGTCGGCGGTTCGAATCCCCGCGGCGGGGTGCGCTCCCGCTGCTCGGTCCCAGCGCCTGCCAACCTAGCAGTTCGAAAGCACCCCCGGGTGCAAGTAGATAAATAGGGACCGCTTACTAGTGGGAAGGTAAACGGCGTTTCCGTGTGCGGCTCTGGCTTGCCAGAGCAGCGATGTCACGCTGGCCACGTGACCCGGAAGTGTCTCCGGACAGCGCTGGCCCCCGGCCTCTTGAGTGAGATGGGCGCACAACCCTAGAGTCTGTCAAGACTGGCCCGTACGGGCAGGGGTACCTTTACCTTATCTACCCAATTGTGTTTAAAACATGTGCTGCCTTTTTTAACATGTACAGTTAAAAAACATAGGTGCCACTGATAACTCTGTTGCATAGCACTTTCTACGTAACAGAACCCTGGGCTATGTGATATCTTGATACCTGAAATTTACTAAGGGTTTGGCTGCCAAAGCTGACACTGGAAGGAACTGCATGCATCAGAGCAATAAAGTAGAATTGTAAATCACACCTACAACATGTGAAGCAGCCCCAAGTGAACTCAAACTAGCGGCAGATGTTTACTAGGAAGAACAATAGCTCCATGTCACACTGATCTTTACAAAATAAAACCATTCTCCCAAACCAGTGCTTCAGGTAACAGAGGTACAATTTAGAAGTATCATGAAACTGCAAAAGAGCAATGATGTCTATTGGGTCTTACAAGATATACTGAGTGAAAGCAGAAAAGTGATCACTAATGAGAAAATAGATGCCTATAATGAAGTAGCAATCACCATCCTGAACAGCAGCTCAAAAAAAGAGAGCAAAAGCTAAAGAAATTTTTTTCAGTGTAATAATAATAATGCAATATATATTAACAAGCTGGAAGAAAAGCAAGAGTCTGCCCAGAGAGAACTGCTGTATATTGTACTCTTGGAATTATGAACGGCCTGGGAGGGCCATGTTTTCATGGGTGTGCTGGCCTTTTGGTATACAGCAGAGGGCACTGTCCCTTCACTTCTGGCAACATTAATACAACTTGCCTTACTGGTGTATCTTTCAGCCTTCATTAATTTTATGGACATTGGCCAAATGCAGACTGAAGTATTAGAGTCCTGTCCCTTCCATTTTGGGAAGCAGCTGGCTATTTTGAAATGCACTATTTCATACAAAATGAGCAGAAATTAGCTATTTTGTACGAAAGGTGTTTCAAAAGACATTTTTGGATCTACACATGCCTTCTAATGGCCCAATTGATTTTATTTCAATATCTGCTTTTTGCCAGTGCCTTCAAATTCTTTCAGGCTATGTGATCTTCATCACCAGCTTCTCTTCAGTGCTTCCTGCTAGCCCAGCCATCCACCTTCTCATGAAAGAGCAACTCTAGGGGCTCATCCGCATGGGAATTTAATGTGGATTTGAAACTGCATGTGCCTTGGTTTTGGGGCGTTGTCCACATGATGTTCTCCCCATTCAACTGACAGCCTATGGTTCTTCAACGCTAAACCAGATGCAGGACATGAGCACAAGAGCCCTCTCCCACTTGTTCTCTCCAGCAGCTGGCATTCAGAGACCTGCTGCCTCTGACAATGGAGGTAGAACATAGCCCTCATGCCTAGTAGCAATGACAGATTGAAGTCTGTTGTGTTACCTTGCTGTACTACATGTCATTTATCCACAAGCAGGGATGTGGATGTTCTAGAAAACGTTGCGTCAATAAAATTTTCGTGAAAGTTTTCTGCTGCCTTAAATTGATAAGGATCTGAACTACCATATATTTATTTCACACTTTAAAATAATGATAATAATTGTATGCCACATTTGTACACTATATGGATTGGATTTTTTTTTCCAGTACCCAAAAGTTTTTACTGAAATAATTGAATAGGAAATAAAATCAATAAAGTGCACTACATGTTGTTTCAATGATATATTCAAACAGATTTAATGTGTTGGTTGGATTTTCACTGGAGCACTTGGAAAATCATTAGGGTTTTTTTATTCTTTATTGAAAAATAAAAAGTACAAAATAACAAGTGCACAGAGCAAAGTAAGACACAAAAAAGAAGAAGAAATAAGCAATAGTAAAGGTAAAGGTACCCCTGCCCGTACGGGCCAGTCTTGCCAGACTCTAGGGTTGTGCGCTCATCTCACTCTATAGGCCGGGAGCCAGCGCTGTCCGGAGACACTTCCGGGTCACGTGGCCAGCGTGACAAGCTGCATCTGGCGAGCCAGCGCAGCACACGGAAACGCCGTTTACCTTCCCGCTAGTAAGTGGTCCCTATTTATCTACTTGCACCCGGGGGTGCTTTCGAACTGCTAGGTTGGCAGGCGCTGGGACCGAGCAACGGGAGCGCACCCCGCCGCAGGGATTCGAACCGCCGACCATGCAATCGGCAAGTCCTAGGCGTTGAGGTTTTACCCACAGCGCCACCCGCGTCCCAAGCAATAGTACCCATGAAGAAAACAACAACAAAGATATTGTGTTCATTACAAAAAAAGGGGGGGGGCTTCTTATTGTAGTTAACCAGATCATTGTAAGACTTGCTAATGTCATATATTTCCTTTATATTATTTAGATTTTGAGGGGGGAAACGAAGGCACTGAAAACTCTGCAGCCAGCTTTGAAAACTTTTGATTAGTACTACAGTGGTAGCTCAAGTTACAAACGCCTCAGGTTACAAACACTTAAGGTTACAAACTCCGCTAACCTGGAAGAGTTACCTTGAGTTGAGAACTTTGCCCCAGGTTGAGAATGGAAATCATGTGCCGGTGGCGCAGTGACAGCAAGAGGCCCTATTAGCGAAAGCACGTCTCTAGTTAAGAACAGTTTCAGGTTAAGAATGGACCTCCGGAACTAATTAAGTTCGTAACTAGAGGTACAACTGTGTATCCACTGCAGTTGTTTACTCATCGTGAGATCAATCCAAGGGTGGTTGAGTCCATGGGAGAGCAATTGTCACATCTGGAACCCTTCTTGCTGACCAGCTGTGGCCAGAGCGGGAGGGTGATCCTTTTCCTTCTCCTCCCTGGCCTTATGTTGAATCCAGTGGGAGAGAAATTACTTTCCCAGCCTTAGGGCTTCTGTTGTTTCTGGCCCTCCCTGGAGGTGTGAGACAATGGTGACTGATGCCCACTGAGACTGGTAGGGCAGAAGGCCAACAGCAGGTGGAGCCCAAGTCAATGACAGGCAGAGCCAACTAATTCCAGTTTTGTCCCCCTTCTTCCTCCTCAGCTGAGATCTACAAGGGAAACACTGAGACTAAGGAGGAGGAAGCTGATAAGGCAGTGCTACACCCTGCATTGGTTATAAGTAACAAAGGCAGGTGGGTGGAGGCTGACTGAAGGGGGGCTGAGGTTGGTGGGGCTGTCCGAATGGACCAGCTTCCACTGGGGTGGGAGCAACAAGGGTGCTGGAGATCTTCCAGATCCATAGCCAGATCCACACACACATCACGGGTGGAACATCAACAGCAGGATGTCACTGCCTACAGCTTAACTGGACAACCTTGAAATAATTTACTTGTGAAAATATGTGTTTGTTTTAAAAAATTTCAAAAAGCTTTGTATGGTTTTGTTAATATTCTGTTGGGTGGCTGGGGAAACCCAGCCAGATGAATGGGGTATAAATACCTCCACCTTTTGAAGGAATGGATGAAAAATCTAAACAACAACAACATAATTATGAGTGCTGGCCCATTGGCAGCCGCCTTCTTCAACATGGTAACATTGAATAGCCTTTAACCTGCCTGGGGAGTGCTTGGCCCATTACTAATGAATTTTATGAAAATTCATTTCTAAAAATGGAAAACTTTCCAAACCTCCATCACCATGCACAAATGATTAAAGAATTCCTGCCCTGAGTAGCCTGATTCTTATAATCATGTGATGAGCTTCTGGAGATGATTCTTTGCTCATCTTAGATGCGTCTAGAGACACAGGCTGATTTAAATACTATGCTTTTTATAAATTGCAACAAGAGAAATACAGGTAATCATGCTCAAAGCATATATATGTGTGTGTACTCATATTTTTAGTTAACAATATTGAAACTGAAAACAAAAGTACTATCCAGTCTAGTAGTGTTTACATAAACCTCTAAAATGGCGAATAAAAGGTAAAGGTAAAGGTACCCCTGCCCGTACGGGCCAGTCTTGCCAGACTCTAGGGTTGTGCGCTCATCTCACTCTATAGGCCGGGAGCCAGCGCTGTCTGGAGACACTTCCGGGTCACGTGGCCAGCGTGACAAGCTGCATCTGGCGAGCCAGCGCAGCACACGGAAACGCCATTTACCTTCCCGCTAGTAAGCGGCCCCTATTTATCTACTTGCACCCCGGGGGTGCTTTCGAACTGCTAGGTTGGCAGGCGCTGGGACCGAGCAGCGGGAGCGCACCCCGCCACGGATATTCGAACCGCCGACCTGACGATCGGCAAGTCCTAGGTGCTGAGGTTTTACCCACAGCGCCACCCGCGAATAGCAACCTCCTTATCAATAATATTTTACCAGTTACAGCAGCTGCTCACCTCCTGACAGCATTCCTTGGGTTATTTTAAATTGGTAGTGAGAAACCTCTGGTCCACCAGGCCTCCCACTTCGGCCCACAGCATAGTTTAGGCTAAACCACATACACCTGTGCATCATAACCTCACTGAACCTACAGAGCAAATCTGAAAAGGAAGGACCAGCAATGCACTCTTAAATGTGCTCCCAAATCTTCCTTTCCAGCTGCTGTTACAATTGCAGAGAGAAATGTGCCAAATTACTGCACACTTACTATTCTTTCAAAGGTGTGGTTTGTTCAAAGGAAGATTTTGCTTTTGCAGTCAAACTTGAATTCAAACTGGGCTGGCTAGGAAGGATCGGGAGCATGCTTCAGAATGCGCTCCCATTCTTCCTTTGAAACCACATCACCTGTTTTAAATTGAGCCAGGATTTTGATAACTGACACCTGCAATTAAGGGGTGGGGCAAGTCAACCCAGGCTCCTGTCACGTTTCAATGGTGTTCAAAGTTGATCAATTAACCACATTCCTTAAAAGAATAGCTGCAGTCCAATGGAATGATGTGCACTGACAGAACATAATGGGACTTAAAAGCTGTTGGAGGGTGGGATTAGTAGAGAAAAGATACTTCCAAGATCCTATCAGGAAGCTGAAACCAACTACTAGAGAACTAATTCCTGCTTCCCTGCACAGCCGTTGAGTTGTATTTCTGGACAAGTACAAGTACCTGTGTCACCATTTCCCATAAACCACGCTGACTTCCTGTCAAGCACACCCTCAGGATATGAGAAACAGAGACAAATATTGCTTTCATTGGAATTCAGCTTCTAGTCAAAAGAGCCACACACGTCCACTGTGTGCTGGACACGTGCTGGTATTTTATTGTTATTTATATCCCACTCCCCCCCCACAGGAAAAACACAGCGATGTTGGGGGTGGGGGTTACTATAGCTCTGCCACACCACCGGCTTTTCCTGCAGGAATCTAAATGAGCATGAATTGAAACTAGTTTGGGTAGACTTTGGTAGACTTCTCACTTTCACAGCAGAGATGATACCCAATATTTTAATTTTCTCCATTTAAAAAAATTCCCCCTTAATGTGCCCAATAGTAGAGTTAAACAAACTTTCTTTTTTTAAAAAAAGAAATGATTATTCACAAATATTTAAATTGTTCATGGCAAATTGGAACATCTAGACTGTGCTGGATTTGTTTGAATTTTGGTAGCAATATTTATACATAGTTCTGCATTTTTATACTTATTTTTAGGCCTGCCACCTCATATACCGTAAATCCGATTACTTCCTAATATATGAAGTTGTGCATATGGCATTTGATAATATTAATGCTGCATCATTCACAGAAATGTTGGTAGGACGTTCCTTCTCCTGTACAGTTATCACTTGATGATGTATATATATTTTCTAACAGCCATGGCAAAGCGATTCCGAATAATAAGGGGGATAAAGAACACCCTTGCTTTGTAGAAACATCCTCAAGCTACTCCCTCCCCCCAAAAAAGGTGGAAAGAGAAACCTCTTGCTATTTCAGTGATACTTTTTTCATATGCTTACTACTGTCCCCAAGATGTTTTTGTTTAAAGATATGGGCTGTTGAGAAATACGCTCAGGGAGATCCTTGTTATTGTCAGTGTTCTGGGACAGGGATTGTGCCCCCAAAGTTATGGGTTGGGTGGGACAGTTATAAAATTATTATAAATTGTTGTGTATCAAGGAACTAACGATTCCTTAAAACTTTTGTTGTTGTTGTTTAGTTGTTTAGTCGTGTCCAACTCTTCGTGACCCCATGGACCAGAGCACGCCAGGCACTCCTGTCTTCCACTGCCTCCCACAGTTTGGTCAAACTCATGTTGGTAGCTTCGAGAACATTGTCCAACCATCTTGTCCTCTGTCGTCCCCTTCTCCTTGTGCCCTCAATCTTTCCCAACATCAGGGTCTTTTCCAGGGAGTCTTCTCTTCTCATGAGGTGGCCAAAGTATTGGGAGTCTCAGCTTCAGGATCTGTCCTTCCAGTGAGCACTCAGGGCTGATTTCCTTAAGAATGGATAGGTTTGATCTTCTTGCAGTCTATGGGACTCTCAAGAGTCTCCTCCAGCACCATAATTCAAAAGCATTGATTCTTCAGTGATCAGTCTTCTCTATGGTCCAGCTCTCACTTGAAGCTATTATTAACATCCCAAAGAACAGAAGGATTGTGTCTGGTAAGGGAAAGAAACTCAGATTTGTTTTGTGACAACCTATTTTCCCTCAGCTCTGATTAATACGTGTGCAGAGAGGGGACAAACAATGTTTATGGCCAGCTTTTATTTCACGGGCCTTTTCCTCCAGCTGGTGCTCAATGAGCTGGGATTTTTGCTTGTAGCACCGTACCATCTTAGATACCATGGCAAGCAAGCAGGATAATCTTAATACCAAACTACTCTGGATATACTTAATGGAATTGTAGTATTCAAATATTTTACATAAAAATATCAAGTGACATCTTCAGTAACATTCATACTTGCGCTGTGCCATCAATGCACTGTAGATCCAGCCTCTGGTCATGGAGGGCAGGAAACCCCCAAGAGCAGCTGTCTGGCAATTTAGATAGGAAGTGAAAGTGGTGAGGTTTATAACACCACACAGTAGTGGCAGCAGCTCTTCCTTCCACCTGTCTTATCTGCAAAACATCCAATTGGTCAATAAACTCCCATTGCCAGCAAAGCCCCCAGAGCAGAACTTGCGTAACTACTTCAGGAAATGCTACATAATTACCTATGGGACAGTGAATACAGGTAAAGAGAAAAATCTGTTTTAGTGTTTAATAGCACCAGGTAGTTTGAAACCACGTAAACCTAACTGGCATTGTTCAAATACGTATTTTATAGCTGCTTTCCACACCAAAAGCCATAATTCCATGTATAATTTTCTCTCTCTGTATATATCTTCATATACAGTATACGTAAAAATGTAATGCTGTCATCACTATCAGCCCTCTTTGGAAGATTTGTTGTGCCACATCACAATCCTGGAACTGCATGAAGTCAGGGGAGGGGAGGGAGAAAAGAGAAGACAGGTTTAAAAACAGGTTTTAAACATCAACAGAAGCTTGAATAAAAGAGATAAAATGTGATAATAAACAATGGCTGAGGCATCAGGAGAGTATATTCATCTTAAAGATACAGTAACGACTCATTGAATGGGGGTGGGGAATCTTCTGCAATGTGTGTTTGTTAAACTACGGTAGGTCTCTACTCTAGAGTCTGTTTTAAAGGCCAAGGCACAGCATGTGGATTAATAATAGAGTGTTTTAGAAGATGCCCCCCCCAGCACCCACCTGAATATCCACAGCTGGTCCCCATAGAGCTAGCATTAGGAGGCAAGCATTTCCAGGGAAACATAAGCCCTGGCAAACCTGTAGGCTCTCCCTCCGGCCTGCATATCTTCCTCTGATGCTGGTATAGGGAGCCAACAAGGCATATCGGGTTCCTATACATACAGTATTAAGAAACACACTTGTTTCTGGCTGGTTCCCTCTAATTTATATGGCAAATATTGGCAAAATGGAGTGAAATGAAATGGTGACTGTGTGTGTGCTCACATTCTCTCTGTGTGTATGCCTGGTTGTTTATTCTGTGTTGATAAGGTTGTTGTAGCCATCATAAAGGATAATAAAGAACAAACAAAGGATCAGAAAGCTAGAAAATTACAAATCCTGTTTTTAAAACAAACAACAGAAGTTTGAAGCTGGAATCAGACCTCAGGGCATGTTCTGAAGGGACAAGATGCAGTAAAGTGAAAACTCAGCAGGTCTAGATTGAGTCTGTAGGTGCCTGGATGGGAGCCCGCTTGGGAAAGCCCTCTGGAGTGGAAGAAAAAGCAGGACACAGAAAGGTAGCAAAATAATATATCGTGCCCCCCTTCCGAAATGGCGCCCCTAAGCCGGGCACGTCGGCGCGTCCTCTCATATCTACCTACCCCAGGTGCCCCGCACCCAGCTGGGATACCAGCCCGGCCAAACAACACCTCTGAAAAGGCACTCTGAAAGGACTTTGGAGCTCGATCATCATAATAGGATCTCTTTTTCCAAACTCTGAGGGCCCTCTCCAGGGATGCCAACTTGAATAAAATAGAGGGGGGCAGGTAAGCCCCGCCCCGCATAATCGATCACATGATGAGGTGCAAGCACACTATTTGAATGGCAATGCCCATAAACTTTGGGGTGGTCCGGCCCCCTCAAATATTTTATGGGGGGGTTGGCTCCTATGGCCCCCTCGGAGGGCGGAAAGTTATTTCCGACCCCCTCCCCGCTCGTTCGCCCCCCACCCCTCGGAGACTAGTGCTGCTCCGCACGTTTCGCAGGGAGCCGCTGGTGTCCTCCTGCTCCGCGAGGTGGGCGGAGACCCCACGCCGCCCCTTCGAGGCCGCCAATTCGCTCGCGCGCGCGCGCACGCTAGGGGGCGTCGGCCTCGTCCGCCAAGCGAGCTCCGGAGCAGGGCGGGGATAAAAGCGTGCGGGTGCTCCCATGTCCCGCTCCTGGAGCCCGAAGCCCCGCCTCGACCCGCCCCGGGGAGGCGCCAAAGGGCAGCCCCAGGCGGAGGCGGCGGAGCGCAGACGGCTCAGGTGTGTCTGCTGGAGCCAGAGCGCTTTCTCCCACCGACGCCGCCGACGCCGACGCGCACCGAGCTCGAGCCATGCTGCCCGCCGCCGTCCGCAGGTGGCTGCATAGACCCAAGGTGAGGAGGGGGGCTCCGAGAAGGGGCTCTTCCCAGCCCGGGACGGGCTCCCCGACGGGCTCGCGCTCGGTTTCTTTCTCGCTGTCTCTGGGCTAGGCCCGGTGAGGGCTCCTTTTTCTCTTCTCGGCATGTTTCGGGGGGGGGGGGGGCTTCTCGCGCCTCGGTCTTCGCTCCCCGCGTCCCGTCCGCGACCCACCTCGCTTTTCGCTCTAAGGCTCCGGACTTGAATTCGGACTTCTCGGAGTTGCTCCTCTTTCGCGGCAGCGATCCTGATCACGCGGAGGCTGCCAAATCAGGGTCGAGGATTACAGCTGAGTTAGCCTCCAACTTCTTAAAACGCCCCTCTCCCAGCTGCCTTCACAATCCGGGTGGTAAAAGAATGAGCCCCCCCCCTTTCCAATGCCCGCTTGGGGGTGAAATGAGAGTTTCAATGCGTGGTAGTGATTTGCTGAGTATAGGAGCCTTTGATGTTGTAGCTCTTCGGGAATGACATAAGTGTACACAGGTGTGTCTTTGTGTACGCCTTTGTATTTGTTTCTTCATTCGTCTACCGCCACTTTGTCCTCTCGCCTGCTGGTAAACCTGGAGCCTTAAGACCTTAGAGGTGTGGAGACCTTGCTCCCTTCAGTGGCTGTTGTCTCTGGCAGTCAAGGGCTCTGTGGTGCGGGGTGGCTTCTTTCTCAACTTTCCTAGAATCCCAGTCTTGCAAGAGGGGATCTCTGATATCATCTAGTCCAACCCCTTCCTTCCCAAGCAGGAAATCCAGTTCAATAGCATCCTTCATTCAGCCTCTGCTTAAACACCTCATTAGGAAAGCCCACCAGCTTTTAAAGCAGCCTGTTCTGCTAGAGAACTGCTCATACCATCAAGCACTTCTTCCTAATGTTTAGTTGAGAAATCCCCTTCCTTGTAACTTGAACCCATTGCTTTGGGTCCTCCCCGAACCAAGCAACAAATCAAATTTGCTCCACCTGTGTGTCAGCCCTTCAAATAATTCACCTTCTTCTGTACCGTAGATGGCATGCTGTTTCTAAGCTCCAGGGTAAGCATGTGGGTTTGTGATCTTCTACTTTTTTCCTGTCTGTCACCTTCTGCCAGTCGTGGCACTAGAAGATTCCCCACAGCAAAAAGCATCTCTGTACTGGTTAGGTTTGCTCTAAGGATTTCTTCTAGAGTTTTCATCCAGGTCTGTGGCTACCATAATGGAGACATACATTTCATATGGGTAAAGAAAAGGGTGTATGTGACAGATCAAGGTATGTATTGCTGAAAACACTCATCTCCCTTTCTAACACGTTAAAAAGCTGCTCAAAACAGCCAGCAACAGGAGAGATTAAAGCCAAAACAGACCAATAAGCGCAGTGAAAAACCAGCTGTGTGGTAACTGATACCAGGTTTTAGAAGTCACCCAAACCCTATGCTAAAATGAAAGTATTTTAGTCTCACTTTATTTTAGTCCATGGGGGAGGGGGCTTTTAGGCCAGACCTTGTGGCCAAAAGCAGCTGCCCCATACCACTTGTTTAGGAGAGGGAGATCTGGGCCAGTTGTGGATGGAACTGAAAGCCTGAAGTTTGTGTGTAAATAGGTGTTGTGCCATCACTTCTTTGCAAGGGTGAAACTGAAGTTTGTGGGTGGATGCAACTGGCTCTACAGGGATTGGTGTCATCTATTGGCTGGCAGGGGGTTGACTTCCTGCTGACTTGTTTATGACTCATATTTCACTCAGCCAAGCATATACCAAGGTGTAATTAGTAAACAGAACCGGGGTTGCTAGCTCTACTCTAGGGAATAAACCTAGGTTTATGTTGTGTGCTAGATAGCTCAGCTGAAATTGCTGGTTGACACTAAACTTACTGTGCTGGATGAGCTTTAATTTTTTAAACCACCTTGTATTCTAGGAATGAAAAAGTCACTGTTTCTCCATCAATGTTTTTGGGGCAGAGCTTAAAAACCCACTTTTATGGATTGAGAGATTCTTATTTTATATAAGTAAAACAATAATTGGGAATAGGAGCAAAGGGGTACGGATTACAGCCTACAATTTGCTGATAAAAGTAAAAATGTGTTGTGGAATTCTCTGCCTCAGAACTTGCTTGAGGCCTAAAGCAGAGCAGCATTCAAATGGATTTTGACAGTTATGTGTGAGACTGGATTACTTGGAGCTGGAATAATAAAATGCCAGCAGATTTGGGGAATAGGTGTGAAGGCTACTTTGGGAATTAATCCACCCTCTAATGTGGGGGTCAAGTGACTGGCATGTTTCAGGGAGAAAGGAAGAGACTATTTAAATACTTCATGGGTTTATTTTTTTTGTTTTTTTGACACTTAAAGTCAGAGATTGCATACTAAACTAGGTAGGTGAAAGGACTATCTGATCCATTCGTCACACTCTATGAACGGTACAGTGTGTTGTAAATCGCTTTGAGGTTTTATTACAGTCAAGTGGGATATAAATATTGTGAAATAAATAAATGTTGCAACAATGGTGACGTACAAAGAATATAGTGCATATGGGTTCAAATCTAAGCACTGAGAAGAGAAAACCTGTAGGTCTTGCTTTTAGTACAAGGTGCTTAGTTTCCTCTTATGCTACTACAGTGGTACCTCGGGTTACACACACTTCAGGTTACAGACTCCACTAACCAGAAATACAGTGGTACCTCGAGTTACATATGCTCAGGTTACAGACTCTGCTAGTCCAGAAATATTACCTCGGGTTAAGAACTTTGCTTCAGGATGAGAACAGAAATTGGCGCAGCAGCAGCAGCAGGCCCCATTAGTTAAAGTGGTGCTTCAGGTTAAGAACAGTTTCAGGTTAAGAACGGACCTCCAGAACAAATTAAGTTCTTAACCCGAGATACCACTGTAATATGAAGCTGTATTTAAGGCCTTGCTGTTCAATTGCTGGGGCTGAGATTGAAGGACATCTTTATTTTTAAAAAGCTATTTTGCCCTTACTATATTCCTGTGTATACCCTTACCTGGGAGTAAGTCCCATTGAATTCAGTGAGACTTACTTCTGAGTAGATATGCATAGAATTATGCTGTGAATGTTCCTCAACTTGGGGGAAAACCCACACATTTCACATAGAAAACTAGCCATCATGCTGAATTCTTAGTTTTCTATATGCAGGGATTTTTATTTTTGGCGAGGAACATTCAATCATGATGTGTTCCAGTGCAGATGCATGTTAACACATTGGTAAGAAGTAAGCCATAGTTAAAACAAACAAACAAACAAACAAACATTTTTGTGACCCAGCTGCTCATGTATGAAAAAACTGATTGTTTGGGAAAAATTTTTGAAAGAGAACATTCCTGTGGCTGGTGAGACTCATACATCCAGTAGCTATGAACTCTTGAAAATCCAGTTCTTGTTTTTTTTATTGTTGGCTGTTTATCCAGAAGGAACCAAAAATAGCAGTTAGCTGCTTACCAGTGACAATAGTTGCTCATGAATCCTATTATTGCTTTTCTGTTCCTTTTCAGATATTTCATAATCACATTAGGTAACTTTTCATTATTGGCCACCTTTTTTTTTTCTAAACAGCAATGAATCACCCCCTCTTGCTTGCCCTTATCCACATTCTCAATAGTGAATGAAAAATGTATCATAAAGAATTGATGAAAAGGCAAATCGGTATAAAGACTTTGTGTGTGTGGTCATTTGTTGACTTCATTGTAGCATTACAGAGAAGCTTCAGTTCACCTGCTTGTCAGCTGTGGGAGAGCCAAGAGAACTCTGATTCTCTCGTGGTGGGGTCATATTTATTTGTTCAACTCTGCGGACAGTGAATGTGAAGGCCACAGGCCAGTTTATTCAACATCTGTTACGTACGTCTATCCTTGACCAATCTGTCTTAATAGAATTTAGGGAATAGCGTATTGCTGGCATTTTGAAAAGGAGCATTTTTCCTTGCATTAATTTGTCACATTGCAAAACGGGGTGTGTGAGGTGTGTGAGGGGGAATAACAAATGGGGCATAATTGTCACTTGTGAGTGACAGTTGAACTCCCCTGGTTCGAAAGATAAAGCTTGCATCTTGTTGATCTTTGCGCAGCTCTGTAGTTCAGGGATAGGCAACATTTTTTGTCCTGAACAGCCACATACAGTTGAGGGGGTGGGGGGAGGCTGAATGCCAGTGGGGGTGACTAGAGCCAGCCATGCCGGCTCTAATTCACACAGGAGCCATGGGCTGCCCACCTGTGCTTTAAGAGAGCAGTTCCAGTAGCCTACCTGGGTATGCCATGATAGCTAGCCAAGTACACAACTGCAGAACTGTTGTTGAAAACTAACTCTGCATTTAAGCATCCCTGGAGAGAGAGCCCAGGTGGCTCACCATGGCCCATTGCATGCTAACGCAAAATGTACTTTTAGTATAGGAGCCCCAGAAGGAGCAGATGACTCAAACATGCTATCAACAATGTAAATAAATATCACAACTTTATTTTAGGGTGGCCTAAAAAGCAGCGTCTCCTTTTGTAGCCACTTGGATTTGGTTGTTGATAGCAGATAGCTCAGTCCATAGAACACGAAATTCTTAATCTTAGGGTCCCTTCCAACTCTACAATTCTATGTGTTGGATTTCTTGCCCTTATATTGTAGAAGAAGCCCAGTCAGTTACATACTCAGAATATTCATTATTTGCTAAGGTTTCCTTGCATTAACTTGCCACATTGCTGCAAATCTGTAACGCTATACTCACTCACCTGGGAGCAAGTCCTGTTGAACATAGACTTCTGAATCTGCATACAATCAGTCTGTAATTACCGTATATTTCGCTCCATGACACGCACC